CTAATTGTACACATTTTTTATATGATTATATAATATATAGCTATTTTATTTTTCAAAAGTATATTTTTTATATGATTATATAATATATAGCTATTTTATTTTTTAAATGTTGTGTTTTTTTTTTTTTTTTTTTTTTAATAAAGGATGTTGTTGCATTAATTGTAACATTAAATATTTCCCAAACCATATAGCTTTATTATATAAAGGATGGACTGACTGTGTCAACAAGTTCGATAAAATTACTCATAGCTTTAGGTATTAATTTTGATTTATAAACAATAATTCTTATAACTGGCGTCTCGTGGTTTCGATTGAGTTGTTGTACCGGAAGGTCGGACATAATTTTCTTCATTGCATTTGTTTAATTAATTTTATGTTAAAAATTTTATCTAATGAATTAGTTGGAGACTAGGAGAAGATAATGTTAATTATTGTATTGTTTATCATGCAGCTATTAAATATAAATAATATCATTATCTTGAAATAAAAATATAAATAACTTATTATTATACAAGTCGTAATACTATCTCAAATTTGTTAAATTTTGGTCTATCAACTCGTTGGTTCTCGCGTGATGATTGCACTGTAGTTTGCCCGGAGTTTCGTATATATATATATATATATATATATATATATATATATATATATATATATATATATATATATATATATATATATATGCTTGTGTGTTTGTATACGTAAAGATCGGAAAAAGGGAGAAGAAGAAGAACACCAAAGCTTAGAGCATAACAACCATATAGGTGTATCATTTCATTAAGCCTTCAAGTCTTTATATAATAATCCATAGAACCCTTCAATTCTATAACATAACAATTGATTAAATAGAAGGCAAATGAAGAGACTAATATTTTAATGGCCATTATTCTAAGTAATTATAACACTCCCCCTTGGCCATTAAATAATTATACTCATGCCTCGTTAAAAACCTCGCTAGAAAAACCCTGTGGGAAAAACCTAATCGAGGAAAAGAGTACATGTAGTATCAATCATGTGTTGCATCAGTTGCCTCGTTAAAAACCTTAGCCTAAGAAAAACCCAGTGGGAGAAAAACTTAGCTAAGGGAAAAAGAGTACAACCATAAGCCTTCCGGGCATCATCTTCAAGATTTAAAAATCTCCTGGACCGATTTTATCGCTCCCCCTGAAGACAACAGTCTTCCTAACCTCCGCATCCCAATTTTATAAACATACTTCTCAAAAGTGGATGTAGGCAGGGACTTAGTGAACAAATCTGCCAGATTTTCACTAGAGCGAACATTTTCAATGAGTATTTCACCACTCTTCTGGAGTTCATGTGGGTAAAATAACTTAGGAGCAATATGTTTAGTAAGACCTCCTTTAACGTACCCATTACTCATTTGTGCAACACATGCCGCATTGTCCTCATATAGGACAGTCGGGGAATCAACATTGCTCATTGTTCCGCATGAGCGATGAATATGTTGTATCAGTGATCTCAACCATACGCATTCACGTGCGGTTTCATATAAAGAAATTATCTCCGAGTGATTAGATGAGGTAGCAACTAAGGTCTGTTTAATGGACCTCCAAGATATAGCTGTACCTCCACAAAGAAAAACATAACCAGTTTGCGATTTAGCAGTATGAGGGTCAGACATATAACCAGCGTCTGAATACCCTTTCAAAGTAATGTCTTGGTTGTTTTCAAAATAAAGACCAAGGTCTTTTGTCCCTTGGAGATATCTAAAGATATGCTTTATTCCACTCCAATGTCTTCTGGTTGGAGAGGCACTAAATCTAGCAAGTAAATTCACTGAAAAGGCAATATCAGGTCTTGTGCAATTAGCCAGGTAAAGCAAGGCTTTTATAGCACTTAGGTAAGGAACTTCAGGTCCTAGTACCTCCTCATTATCCTCCTTAGGTCTAAATGGGTCCTTTTCCGCTTCAAGGGACCGGACTACCATTGGGGTGCTAAGGGGATGAGATTTATCCATATAGAATTTCTCCAATAATTTATTAATGTAGTTATCTTGGTGAATGAAAATTTCATTTGGAAGATGCTCGATCTGCAGGCCGAGGCAGAACTTGGTTTTTCCCAAGTCTTTCATTTCGAATTCTGCTTTTAAGCATGAACATGCTTCTATAAGGTCTTCCTTTGTCCCAATAATGTTCATGTCATCGACATAGACATATATAATGCAGAAGCCATTAGATGACTTCTTAATGAATATACAGGGGCAAATATCATTTTTAACGTATCCCTTCTTCAGGAGGAATTCACTCAAATGGTTATACCACATTCTACCAGATTGCTTCAAGCCATATAATGACCTTTGAAGTTTGATGCTATACATGTTTCGATCTTTATCCCTCATATTGGAATTTTGAATACCCTCGGGTATTTTCATGTATATATCAGCATCTAGTGACCCATAAAGGTAAGCTGTCACTACATCCATCAACTGCATATCTAATTTCACACTTACTGCCAATGATATTAAATAGCGGAATGAGATGCCATCAATAACAGGAGAGTATGTTTTATCAAAATCAATTCCGGGTCTCTGCGTGAACCCCTGAGCTACCAATCTCGCTTTATATCTAACCACCTCATTGTTTTCATTCCTCTTCCGTATGAATACCCACCTGGATCCTACTGGGATCACATCTTTTGGGGTAAGTACGGTGGGACCAAAAACTTTTCTTTGATTAAGCGAGTTGAGCTCTGCCTCAATTGCCTGTTTCCACTTCAACCAGTCAGAGCGCTTCCGGCACTCGGTTATTGACTTTGGTTCTGGATCCAGATTATTTTGTGGAATATTACAGGCAACTGCATAGGCAAAAGTGTCGTCAACGACTATTAAATCTCTATTATATGTTTCCCCTGTATCAACAAAATTTATGGCCGTTTCTATATTGACATCAACCAGATCATCGTCATTTCCCAAAATATTTTGATCTGGATGTTCCGCATTCCCAGTGTTCATATTATTTAGAGCACGTGCAGGTTCACTGGGTTCTCCGTCTTCGGGACGGTCGTCTTCAGGACGATTAACATTTTTCTGGAGTGACTGAGATATTTTACTAATTCTCGTCTTCCGCGGAATTAAATCTTTTGCACCAAGTGGTCTCCCGCGCTTCTAGCGATGGAGAGTGTCAGTGTGCATACTTGGTCCCACGGGGATTTCAACTCTCGAAGGAGCATTCACAGCAGGGATATGAGACCTAGTCACTCCTCTGTTATCAGTAAAAGCATCTGGCAGGTTATTTGCTAAATTTTGCAAATTAATAATTTTCTGAACTTCTAGTTCAGTTTGACTAGTACGTGGGTCTAGATACTGAAGATCCTTTTCATCCCATGAGATTTCTCGGCATTTCGTTAAATAAGGTCTTTTATCTCCCCCTAATGCCGGGAAATGATCTTCATCAAAAATGCAGTCAGCGTACCTCGCGGTAAACTGATCTCCTGTCATGGGCTCTAGGTATTTAATGATGGAGGGAGATTCATAACCAACATATATACCTAGTTTTCTCTGTGGGCCCATGGAGGTACGATTTGTAGGTGGTATGGGGGTATAGACTGCACACCCAAATACACGCAGATGGGAAATGTTAGGTTCTACACCACGTAGTAGTTGTAAGGGGGAATAATCATGATATTCACTAGGTCGGATTTGTATTAAAGCTGCAGCGTGTAATACTGCGTGTCCCCAACATGAGACTGGTAAACCAGACTTCTGCAGTAATGGTCTAGCGATTAATTTAATACGCTTAATCAGGGACTCGGCCAGACCATTCTGAGTATGGACATAAGGTACAGGATGCTCCACTTTGATGCCCAAGGCCATACAATAATCATTGAAAGCCGTTGATGTGAATTCTCCAGCATTATCCATTCTTACTGATTTAATGGGATAATCTGGGAATTGGGCATTCAACTCAATAATTTTCGCAACAAATTTAGCAAAAGCTTTGTTCCTCGTGGACAGTAGACTAACATGAGTCCAACGAGTGGAAGCATCAATAAGGACCATAAAATATCTAAATGGTCCAGAAGGTGGACTAATAGGTCCACAAATGTCGCCTTGCAATCTCTGCAGAAATATAGGCGATTCATGTCCAACCTTAGTACGCGACGGGCGTACAATATATTTACCTTTCGCACAAGCCACACATGTAAACATATTTGGCGAAAGTTCCTGAGATCTAGACAGGTTATGTCCAGCAGAATTAGATATGATCCGGCCCATCATATTTTGCCCAGGATGACCCAGACGGTCATGCCACATTTGAAAAGAATGTGGATTTTTTAGTTTCATGGTAAGTGCCACAAATGAATCATTGGGTTGTATATAGGTATAATATAACCCAGAGGATAAAGAGGCAAGTTCCTCAACCTCCCGCTTTTGACCAGTGATCAACTGAGTCATGGTCAAGAACTCCTCTTTGTTCTTAGTCTTGGTTTCAATATGGAAACCATTTGAACGAATATCCTTGAAACTCAGCAAGGTTCGTTTAGATTGAGGGTACAACAAAGCATTTTCAATTAGTAGCTTTGTACCCTTAGGGAGGATGATGGATGCTCTTCCGGAGCCCACTATTTGTACCTGATCATTAGAAATGGTAGTAATATTACTACTTGATTTGTTTAAGGTACGAAAAAACCTCATATCCGTTAGGATAGTATGCGTGGTTGCACTATCCACCAAACACAATGTTGGTTCATGCTCCATTGTGCGAACAACAACTTTGTAATGTTGTAAGATCTTCGGGGTTACTTCTCGAACAGTGGTTGTTCGTTACTAATTAACCAATGCCTTGGCACAAAAAATAGCATGTGAAGGTTAAAAAAAAAAAAAAAAAAAAAAAAAAAAAAAAAAAAAAAAGAGGTGAACCCTTCATCATGATAAAATAGAAAACATAGAAATCAAGTCATAAAACGATATGAAAAAACATAAGTTCATAATCCAAAAAAACGATACGAAAAAATAGGTTCATAAACCAAGAGCATAAGACAGATCATTCTTGATCACCAAAGTCTTCAAGCTCATATTTTAAAAGATCATCATCATCATTCATCACTGCATTTGCTTCAAGCAAATCAGTGTTGGTGTGATGAGATTCCTTTCTTGACGGTTGCTTATCATTTTTCTTTTGCGTCATTTTGTAAGCTTCAACCAGATGATTTGGTGTATGACATGTACGAGACCAGTGTCCCGTACATCCACACCGATAACATGTTTGTGACCTTGATGAACCTTGATCACTTTGTTTCTTATCTTGGGCCCGGGAGTCATTGTTGCCTTTGCCTTTACCACTTCGATTGTTTCGACCGTGACCTCTACCACGACCCTTTCCTCGACCCCTTCTAGAATTGCTTCCCTGGGCAATATGATGTGCTTCAGGCGCGGGGGCAGACCCAGCAGGTCGTGCATTATGGTTTTTCATCAACAACTGGTTGTGCTTCTCGGCCACAAGAAGTACAGATATCAAATCAGAATGCTTTTCATAATTCTTTGCCCTGTACTACTGCTGGAGTACAAGGTTACTCGCATGAAAGGTAGACAGAGTCTTTTCAATTAAATCTGTCTCTGAAACTTCTTGTTTGCAGAGCTTTAGTTGCAAGACTATCTTATGAAGGGCCGAGTTGTAGTCAATAACTGACTTATAGTCCTGAAACCTCAGGTGAAGCCAGTCAAATTGGGCTTGAGGGAGGACAATCGATGACTGCTGGTCAAAGCGGTCCTTCAGGGACTCCCATAATGCCAAAGGGTCCTTTTCAGTCAAGTATTCATTTTTCAGGTCGTGGTTCAAGTGGTGACGTAAGAAAATGAGAGTCTGCGTCTTCTGGGCGTTAGTACACTGTGACTTGGCAACAATGGTTTGGCTTAGTTCTTTAGACGCGAGATGAATCTCGATGTCCAAAGCACAAGTCAAATAGTTGCTACTGTCAAGTGCGAGCTCATTAAATTCTCTTTTGGCGATAGAAGACATGATCTACAAAACATATATCGTATGCTTTCATATACATTCATAAAATCATATGTTCATAGCAAAATAAGGAATTTAATAGGATCTCTAGATGCAAAGCAAACTTCAAGAGATGAAACCAAAAGATAAAATTCAAAATACAAATTGATCTTTCAAATTCATATAAGAAGCCATAAAATTGACCTTTCGGATACTTGCAAGAGAAATATTCTTCCATGTAAATTTAATAAAAATAATACGGAAAGATAACATGCATATTTTACAAATTATCCATACAGAAATATAACATTACATGCATCGCTTTAAATTACTTTTTGAATTGCCCATGACAAGTCTATCACCACAAATGGCCAAAAGTAAAACCATGCATTTAGTTTGGCCGATTTACACAACAATTCGAAAAAGTAAATGTTATTCCAAGAGAAGGAATTATAGCAAGAGAATGTTTATATAGCAAGAGAGGGAATTAAAACTCTTTGGATGCAAAAAATTCAAAAAAAGACGTAAATATCTAATTTATTTATTTATTTATTTTTATTTTTTATTTTTTATTTTTTGGAGAAACATCAACAAGGTAGTGGATTATGTACAAGTATTATTTTGCATAAGAAAGCAAATATCAAGCATACAAAAGGTCAAATATAATCATTATAAACCAAATATGTAGTACGCCAATTTCTTCCGCAAAGACAAAGATTTGAGATTTCCTTATTCAAGAATTTCAAGGCATTTATACAAACCATATGTACATATACAATATTAAGCTTTTCTACATAACAGATTATCCTTTCGGATTCACGCAAGAGGGAAACTTTCATATTTAAACAAGAAAAAAAAAATTTGAAGCATAGCAACCTTACTAGTAACATGCTCATATTGCGGTAATAGATTACAAAATAATCATGATCAATCATTTTGTTACACGACGTAAATTAGTAACAACATCCATGAATTTAACAACTTAGTACCATCAACCTTAGTTACTGTAATGATTTAGCACACAAGTTTTGACATTATTCACCTTCCGTATTGAATTAGTGCTCATTAGAGCAATGGTGCCAACTTAATGCCAAATTAGTGCTTAATCATTATGCTTTACCAAAACATTGTGAACATACATTACATCTTCATACTTTTATTTGAATAAAAAAAATAGGAATTTTGAATACTTCATAAAGCAAAAACAACATCACATGCAAACAAAACCATTCTGAATATCCTCCTGTACTATGATCTTTTTGTCGAATTAATGGGACTAAGCAAGACAACAAAAACATTCTGAATATAGGTGCTGGGCAAACAATACATACACACAGAAGCAAATTGCATTTTTCCACAAAAGCAAAACAAATTAGAAATCCATATTCAGGAATTCTCAAGCACATATACATACGAACCAATATATGTAATTCATATTTTTATATCACGGAATTATACAAACATTCATAAGATAGATAGAATGATGGCTTGCAAATATGTATATACATAGAATGAACAACAAATATTCACATGTTTAAATCACCGTATGTATACAAACATTCATAAGATCGAAAATATAAATTGCATATATATTTGTAAGCATATACTTCAAATCAACAGGATTTTAGAATGTAAATATGCAATTTGTTGCAATTTTAACAGTTATGAATGTTAATTATAAAATAAACATACCGTTCACCGAAGTTACTCGTGCTGATAACGTGTTAAATTTTGGTCTATCAACTCGTTGGTTCTCGCGTGATGATTGCACTGTAGTTTGCCCAGAGTTCCGTATATATATATATGTATATATATATATATATATATATATATATATGCTTGTGTGTTTGTATACGTAAAGATCGGAAAAAGGGAGAAGAAGAAGAACACCAAAGCTTAGAGCATAACAACCATATAGGTGTATCATTTCATTAAGCCTTCAAGTCTTTATATAATAATCCATAGAACCCTTCAATTCTATAACATAACAATTGATTAAATAGAAGGCAAATGAAGAGAGTAATATTTTAATGGCCATTATTCTAAGTAATTATAACAAAATTTAAATTTTAGAATCTAACTTATTATGATCATATTCACATATACCTTTTTACTTTAAAATTAAGACAATGTGATTTAACTTTAAAATGTTTAATTCAATAGTGAACAAGAAGTTTCTATTATTTGGAAAGCTTTGAGTAAAGATTTTATATCTTCATTTTTTTTTTTTTTTTGAGGACAACACCAAACGAATTTCATTCCTGGTTTAAAACATTCGTAATACAAGCAGGTGGGATGGAAGTCCACACCCCAGAGTCAGACAAAGAAACGGTCGCCCGAGCTAACTCATGAGCCACACGGTTCGCTGATCTCTTTACATGGGAGATGCTCACAGTCCCCATGTCCCTAGCAATCGACACACATTGCTTTACAACTAGTCCAACATACGAGAAATCAGAAATAACAGAATTAAAAGCAGTACAAAAGTTTAAGCAATCGGATTCTAAAATAATAGAGTTGCGATCTTGAGGTTTAAGCCAAGACAAGGCTTCCCGGACACCAACCGCTTCAGCCATGTAGGGATCTACCACACCATGTAGCCAACCAATTTTAGCCGCAATAAATTGCTGTTCATGGTTTCGGACGACAATGCCATAGCTAGCGCCTGCCTCGAATAATGCCGCATCAACATTACATTTAATAGCATGTCTTGGAGGAGGAATCCAGCTTCTATTAGAGGCCTCGGTAGCGACAGATATAGGTTTAGAATAAATTTCCTTCTAGCTTTCCAACAACCTTGTGACCTGTTCCCGAACTTCCGGTCCCGGAGGACATTTGCCATTCCACACCACATCGTTACGTGTCGACCAAATCACCCAGAACACAGCCGCCGCATGCACTGCCACATCCAAAGACGCGTTGCCAATCACATCTAACATGAATCCGAAATAGTCACAGCCTTGTAAAATATTCCTGTCGCCCCAGACAAGTTCTGCAAATACACAATGGCAGAACAAATGCTCCTGCATTTCAGTGGGGTAACTACAAAGTGGACAGCCACCGCCTATCCAGACCCTCTTGGTCCGCAAGTTATCTCGAACAGGTAGAACATTGCGAGCACATCGCCATAGAAAGTTCCTTACCTTCAGAGGAATTGGCATTGCCCATAACGCCTTCCAAGCGTGGAAGTCATTGGGATTTGTACTTGGGTACGCCTCTTCCGTAAGCCGCCGGTAGCCATTCTTGACCGTATAGCAGCCACGAAAATCACCAACCCAGCACCAACTGTCTTGGAAATTCCTGTTCACCGGGGTCACCAAAATTCTGGGCACGTCCTCTTCTAGAAAAATGTCCCGTAGGATGTGTATGTCCCAATTTCCCTGCGTGTCTAAGAGCCCATGCACCATCGCCTCTCGCAAATACTCCACACAAGGGGTTCGTAACTTGACTTGCGTAGAGCCCGCCAACCAGTCCCGACCCCAAATCTTAGTGTCAACCCCGTCCCCAACACGTCTGGCAATCCCCATGTCCAAAACCTGTTTCCCCGCATGGATGCTACGCCAAATAAAACTCGGATTGCCTCCTAGCTGGGCGTCCATAAAGTCGTTCGTAGGAAAATAACGCGCCTTCAATAGTCGACTAACTAAGGATTCAGGATGGATTAGAAACCGCCAACCTTGTTTAGCCAGAAGGGCAATAGTTTCAACTCTTAATTTTATTGAAACTATTTTAAGAGTTGCACATAATTTTATGGGAAAATTGTAAAAAATGCCTCTCTATAATATGCCAATTATCAATGTCACCCCTGAATTATGAGTGGTGTAAATGTTGCCCTCAATTATCAAAATGGTGCACATATAGCCCCTCCCTGATTATGAGCGGCGTCGCAAGGGAGGCGATGGAGGGAACAACAATTCGTCATATTGGCAGGGGAAGCGGTGGAGGCGGTGTTGGTCGCGACTGCAGATCTAATCGACGAAGTTGTAGTAGATCTGCGGCATTTGTGGCGTTAGTGGCTGGGCAGTCTACGACTGTGGCGTTGACGACTG